CAACATATCCAATACCCGTGAATGTCTGGGTTAGAATATTGATCTTCAGTAACCCATGCTTGTCATAAGATGCGACTAACGGGATCGGGTGGTCAGGCTTGCTGACTTGGTTGACACATGTCATCGGTTCCCAATTGCGCAAATCAATGCTCATGATGTTGATCACTGGATTGTCTGGTCCAGACTCGATTATTTACAGACCGCCACCATATAGCTGGAATGTTGCTGAGTGCGGTGTAAAACTAAACTCACTCACTCACTACAACATATCCAAGCAATCAGTCACATATGGACCTCAGCAGGTTCTCCCATCCCTCTGAAAAGTTGAGTAATATAATATCTTTGACTTTTTAAATAGAGAAACTGCCTGGTTGTGTAACGTGACATCAACCTGTATGATACTATCTATTATGTCACTTGTATGTATAGAGTACAGCTTCGCTGTAGCGGCTGCCATTTACTGCAGATCATGAATGACGAAGTGTCAATCTGGCCTTGCCGTACACCATGAATGCTCAGCTTTCAGTGCGTTACGAGATCAGCTCTTGATGAATGTACGATATCGGGTCAAGACTTGGTCTATGAATGAATATGTGATACTATTTCCAAGGATGAATACCATTAAGGGACTATTGAGCATGTATGCTGTCGATGAGTATCAAGATTATTACTATTATGATTATGTTTGTTTGGTACATACAGACGCAATTGTGAACAGCGTAAGGCATAGAAATATGACAGGAGAGTATAAAAGATGCTCATTAATGTTCACCAGAGCTGAAATGTTGCACCTTTAGTTTTGCAACAGAAGTGATTTTTCATGCCTGACCGACTTGCTCTTGATTGTAGCTTATGCTTGGGCTCATTTTAAATGTAGATATTCTGTATATGAAGAGAGAAATAGAATTATGTGTTTAATGCATGACGACCATTCAGGATAATTCGGGCTGCAGCAGGTGCTTTGTCAATGTGTCGTGGTGTAGTTCACTGATGTTTTTAAAAAGTGCTGAATCAGTTTTTTATGTAACATTTACATGAATATTTTAATCAAATTTGGATTTTAAGTAGGTACGCAGGTTATTATGGAAAGCTTAATAATTCTAAGGAAAGTGTACAAAGGCTTATGCAAACAGTTTAAAAAATATGTCATGAAATTGTGTGAATATGACTGACATTAGTAATTAGATAGAAAGTGTCGCTCATATGAAGTGGGGACAAGATTTAAGCTAACATTGGTAAGTTAACAGGACATATTTCATAGGTGTAGGTGGTATATTTCTGTGGAGTCAGTAGTCTATTGGTTGAAGTTTTTGTCCATCACAGTAAAGGCAGGGGTTGGATATGGGTAAAATGTGTGGGTCCCTTGTCTGGTGTTGATCACTGGATTGTCTGGTCCTAGACTAACATCTAGTCTCTGAAATGAACATATTTTAGAGAAACAAAACAACAGTTCATGATAACAAAATTAAATATAATGAAAAGCAGCCCTGAGACTTTCTTCATATTCAGAAACTGTGGAAATCTAGACTTGCTACATAATCTAGAATTGGCTTCTTGGATGTGTTTGTGACATGGTCTCATTGACAGACTAGTCTGTTCCAGGCTCAGACCACCGCAGACCACCGCCATAAAGCTGAGTGCAGCATTAGACAACAAACTAGAAAACCAGCACTTATCTGGACTGGAACACACAGTCACACACAGTCACACACAGTCACACACAGTCACACACACTCACACTTGTCCATCATACAGACCGTGAAACAAATATACACAGTAGTGGTGCTCCGATTAATTGAAATAATCGAAGATTGGTCGCAGTGACCAAACGACCAAGCAATCGAAGAAATTTTCTCATAATCGAACACAAACGATTTTGGAAACTTTTAGTCTTTGAAACATTTGACAATGGAACATATGTTCGAAGTTGTCAGGGCCTGAAAACTTGCTCAAGTCTTGGAAAACTCACTTCACTAACTGAAAAGGCATGACTAAATATTTCTTGAAGACTCCAGGAAGTTTATGTTCATGATATTATTAGTCATCACTTTAAAGTAGCAAGTTGCATCATGTTATACATATCTGCAATAACAACCTGGATAGGAAAATCTGAAAAATGACACTAACCAATTTTTGGGGATGATTGTTCATTGGTAATGAAGCAATCATCAACTGTGAGATTTCAACCAATTCCCAACACTAATACACAGTACAGCCCATGCAAGTCTAGAATATGTGGCAAGTCTAGATTACCACAGCTTCAAAATGATGAAAGACCCAGGCTCCCTTTTTATATTTTATGAATATAATTTAGAAACTATTTTTTATATAAAATATGTTCATTTCAGAAACTAGATGTTAGTCTCACACTCACATATGCACAAGATCAGTGCAATGCCTCCATTATTCTGATGCCACATTTACCAATATTTGTTTGCCTAAACAATCAAGATGGCTTTAATCTGAAGCAGCACTGTCATTCTCCTATGTATCAAGTGTAGCAAATTGTAGAATTAGTGGCCACGGAAGGTCAGATCAGGTGCCAAGGGAGATACAGCCATTACTGAGCAAGGTAATTCACTACAAGACTTCATCTATTTTGGTCGGAAACTTGTTAATCTCACTCCCAGGATCTTCCTGCCTCAAGTAGATGTCTGAAATACAGAACAGGTTCATTTTCTTATTGCTTCTGATGATCTACAGTGGAATTGAGGGCTACCTTTGGATGGTCTCCCTTTGTTGAAGGTCAGGTAGATGTTACCTCTGACTTTAAAGTAATGTTTTGAAAGAAATTTGAAATGTTGGTAATAAGGTAACTTGTTAAGCTCAAATTTCATAACATATATGGGAATCTTGTGACACATCACATTACTAAAACTATGATCAACCTGTAAAGATTCCATCCAGCTCAGAATAGGTCCCGAAAACTCGGTTCTGGATGTAAGACTTACCAGATTAGGCTGTCTGTCTCAGAGACTTGGTCACAAAATGGCTGCCATACTACAGATGTGACATCAAATTTTAAGTCACTCAGTCATTTACTCACTCTCTCTCACTCACTCACTCACTCACTCACTCACTTACTCACCAGTCTTGATGTTTTAGAGTCATACAGCTGGAATCTAAAATGCAGAGTTAGCCAAAACACAAATAGAAACTCTGTGGACCAGTGGAATAGATTGACACGTCCAGGCTATGAGACACACCAGTCTTGATGTTTTAGTCTAATGGTCATACAGCTGGAATATAAAATGCAGAGTTAGCCAAAACACAAAGAGAAACTCTGTGGACCAGTGGAATAGATTGACACGTCCAGGATATGAGACACATCATTACCTTGTTACAGTCTGACAACAGAATGGAAGTATAAACATAAATAACATTGATATGAAAGGAAACAAACACATAGGTTATTATGCATGATCATTTTGTGTTCAACTTAGAAAGCAAAACATACCTTCTTACACTATGCACAAGTAACTCTTTAGACTATACATTCAAGGCTGTCAGAAATTTGTCAATTAAAGTTTGACACATCTGTATTAGAATACTTATAGATATCAATGAAGGCGGTGGGGTAGCCTAGTGGTTAAAGTGTCCGCTCGTCCCACTGAAGAACCAGGTTCAATTCCCCACATGGTTACAACATGTGAAGCCCATTTCTGGTGTCTCCTGCTGTGATATTGCTGGAATATTGCTAAAAGCAGCAGAAAACAATACTCACTAACTCACTAGAACCAGACCATGCAGTCAACAGAACAGGGCCTACATTTTCAAAGCTCTCTTAGCATTAAGATAGTCGTAAGTCAATGTTAATGTATGGCTCTTACGACTATCTTAGCGCTAAGAGAGTTTCGAAAATCTAGGCCCTGGTGTTCAACACATCCAATTTCAAGACAATGCAGTTCATTTGTAATGTAATGCCATGAAACTATTGTTAATGTGTCCACTCAGAGATTTATTTATTCCCATTGTATAAAGGGGTACGGATGTCAGTCACTAGTTCTTGATAGTAATTATGTTTCGTTGATGTGCATCTTCAGGTCTTTATGACAGAATACTCTGGACTAAAGTAGCTTTGCATGTGTTCAGGATTTTCAACATCACGTAATTGTTCTTGATAAGGCAGCTGAATCTTTTCTTAAAAAATAATGTGTTTAATAGGTATATGTGTAATTGTTTTTCTCAAACAGGACTAGAACTGACAAGTTGTTTTTCTTCATGTGAGAATAGAACCATTCCAATGCTCAAAAAGAATTTCTCAAAAACATCTTAATTTGTGTATCTATTTTTCCTTCTAAAACTAAACTGAACTTGACAAGTACTTACTCTTAAGAAGGAAATGGTTATATTTCTTTGCTGTGATTATTAATTTCTATGTCCAGTGTTTTTTCTCAAACAAGACTAAACTTGAAATGTAGTTCTCTATTAAAATCAATTTGTGGTCTAGCTGTGTGGTTAATGTGTTTACCTGTTACACCTTAGATCTTGGTTTAATTTCCAACATGGGTACAATGCGTGAAGCCCATTTCTGGTTAGCCTATTGTGATATTACTGGAATAATGTTTTAAGCAGTGTAAAACCATACTCCATATTGACTTAACAATTAAATAATTTCTATGAAATAATTCCTGAAAAAAGAAGAAACTTGTATGTATTAAACATTGCTTAAAGTACTGTAAAACCATAATCACTCACACAATCTCTGTTGATATAGCATTAGCATAATTTCAAAGTTGAAAAAGATTTTTAATGTGTGTCTAATTATTATCTGAAACAAAACTTTACTTGGAAGGTGTTAAATCAGTATAGAGGAAAGGGAGGGTAAGTTATTAGTGAATGATATTATACGCAGGAAAGTGTGCAGGGGTGCACCCACTGCAAGTCAGGTGCAGCTTCTGCATCCGTACTGTGCACTAAATCATGCAATCTTCCTGTGAGCCCCTCCTCCTCCTCCAAGCACTCTGATATTGTTTCCCCAGTCCCCAGTAGCTACTACCAATTCTACAACTACCTTCCACCCCTGCACCAATAATGTAACAAGTCCCACCCTCTGTTCTCTCCTCCATCGGGCCAGTCCATGGCAGACTGAGGTCAGCAAGGTGTATGAATGGTTACGGCTGTTAAAAAGAAGTCGCCACAGTGGCCCGTGGAACAAGTCGGACCAGGGTTGTTAAAGGGGCCGGGCGAGGAGAGTATTAGACTGGTCTGTCAGCCGTGAACTGTGGCACGCTCAAGTCGAAGTGACTGACTTGCCGCACTCTGCCGACCAAAGGATCAGTCTCTGTGTTAGACAGGTGTGGAACAGTGCTGGATATATGAGAATATTTCATGTATGACAGAGTGGTATATTCCAATACCCACACATACTGCCCCGCAAGACTTTATGCTTATTTAAAAGGAACATTATCTATTGAAGATGTGAGTGAAACCTGCACTATCAAGATCTGCATTGTAAAAAAGTTTCCAGCCATTGTAAAGGGTATTCATTCAGCGTGAAGCCCAACTATGTAACTGTGAGTTGTTGTGGGTGTGCTCTGTATTTGTGCTAGGTTACTTGGATATCTGCTGAGAGTTTCTTCCACTACCTCACTCAGGTGAAACTGGAGTGGGATCTGTGTTGTGCTTTCTCAAGGATATACAGAGGATAGGTATATATCTCTGCGCCAGATGCTGACTATAGGTAAGTCTTTTTTATGTCATGGTCTTTGATCTATTTGTGTAGGCAGTGAAGATGGAAAGGACCTTTTCTGTGGCCATGCTAACACTGATATACTCCTCTGTGAGTTTTGGTTGAATGTAGCACGTTGTACACCTCAGTGGGTCTTAGCCAACTGAATACTACGAGGGTGTACACTCTATCTTAGAATTCACCAGTTGATCAATATTAACTTGTATGACAGTTACATACACCTCTATGAATTGGTTGAATATAGCACTTTTTCTACCTCAGTGGGCCTTAAGCCAGCTGATGACTATATGGTATATACTATATCTTATATTTCAACATTTATACTTCATCAATATTAACTTGTATGACAGTTACATACACCTCTATGAGTTGGTTGAATATAGCACTTTTTCTCCCTCAATGGGCCTTAAGCCAGCTGATGACTATATGGTATATACTATATCTTATATTTCAACATTTATACTTCATCAATATTAACTTGTATCACAGTTACATACACCTCTATGAATTGGTTGAATATAGCACTTTTTCTACCTCAGTGGGCCTTAAGCCAGCTGATGACTATATGGTATATACTATATCTTATATTTCAACATTTATATTTCATCAATATTAACTTGTATCACAGTTACATACTGCTATGAATTGGTTGAATATAGCACTTTTTCTACCTCAGTGGGCCTTAAGCCAACTGATGACTATATGGTATATACTATATCTTATATTTCAACATTTATATTTCATCAATATTAGCTTATACGACAGTTACGTTCTCCTCTATGAGTTTGGGTCGAATGTAGCACTTTGTCCACCTCAGCAGGCCTTAGCCAACCGAAGACCTCTATGGTATATACTATGAGCTCATATATCTTATAGTTCATCAGCTGATAAATATTAGCTTATACGACAGTTACATACTCCTCTATGAGTTGGTTGAATGTAGCACTTTTTCTACCTCAATGGGCCTTAAGCCAGCTGATGACTATATGGTATATACTATATCTTATATTTCAACATTTATAGTTCATCACATTAACTTTATATGACAGTTACATCAACATTTATACCTCTATGTATCACAGTTACATACTCCTCTATGAGTTGGTTGAATGTAGCACTTTTTCTACCTCAATGGGCCTTAAGCCAGCTGATGACTATATGGTATAAACTATATCTTATATTTCAACATTTATATTTCATCAATATTAACTTGTATCACAGTTACATGCTCCTCTATGAGTTGGTTGAATATAGCACTTTTTCTACCTCAATGGGCCTTAAGCCAGCTGATGACTATATGGTATAAACTATATCTTATATTTCAACATTTATATTTCATCAATATTAACTTGTATGACAGTTACATACTCCTCTATGAGTTGGTTGAATGTAGCACTTTTCTACCTCAATGGGCCTTAAGCCAGCTGATGACTATATGGTATATACTATATCTTATATTTCAACATTTATATTTCATCAATATTAACTTGTATGACAGTTACATACACCTCTATGAGTTGGTTGAATATAGCACTTTTCTACCTCAATGGGCCTTAAGCCAGCTGAATGACTATATGGTATATACTATATCTTATATTTCAACATTTATATTTCATCAATATTAACTTGTATGACAGTTACATACACCTCTATGAATTGGTTGAATATAGCACTTTTTCTACCTCAATGGGCCTTAAGCCAGCTGATGACTATATGGTATATACTATATCTTATATTTCAACATTTATATTTCATCAATATTAACTTGTATCACAGTTACATACTGCTCTATGAGTTGGTTGAATGTAGCACTTTTTCTACCTCAATGGGCCTTAAGCCAGCTGATGACTATATGGTATATACTATATCTTATATTTCAACATTTATATTTCATCAATATTAACTTATATGACAGTTACATGCTTGTCTGTGAGTTTAAGTTGAACAAAGTACATTGTCCACCTCAGTGGGTCTTAGCAGCTGAATATTACTATGGCATACACACAATCTTATATATCATCAGTTGATCAATATCAACTTGTATGACAGTTACATACTCCTCTATGAGTTTGGGTCGAATGTAGCACTTTGTCCACCTCAGCAGGCCTTAGCCAACTGAAGACCTCTATGGTATATACTATGAGCTCATATATCTTATAGTTCATCAGTTGATAAATATTAGCTTATTTGACAGTTACATACTCCTCTATGAGTTTTGGTGGAATGTAGCACTTTTTCTACCTCAATGGGCCTTAAGCCAACTGATGACTATGTGGTATATACTATATCTTATATTTCAACATTTATGTTTCATCAATATTAACTGATATGACAGTTACATACTCCTCTATGAGTTTGTTGAATGTAGCACTTTTTCTACCTCAATGGGCCTTAAGCCAGCTGATGACTATATGGTATATACTATATCTTATATTTCAACATTTATATTTAATCAATATTAACTTATATCACAGTTACATACTGCTCTATGAGTTTTGGTGGAACGTAGCACTTTGTTAACCTCAGTGGACCTTAAGACATTGTAGACTACTATGGTATACACTCTAGGTTATTATTCACTAGTTAATCAATATTAACTGATATGACAGTTACATACTGCTCTATGAGTTTTGGTGGAACGTAGCACTTTTTCTACCTCAATGGGCCTTAAGCTAACTGATGACTATATGGTATATACTATATCTTATGTTTCAACATTTATATTTCGTCAATATTAACTTGTATCACAGTTACGTACTGCTCTATGAGTTTTGGTGGAACGTAGCACTTTGTTAACCTCAGTGGGCCTTAAGACATTGTAGACTACTATGGTATACCGGTACACTCTAGTTATAATTCACTGTTTAATCAATATTAACTGATATGACAGTGACATACCCGTCTGTGAGTGTGGGTTGATTGTAGCACTTTATACTCCAGTGGGTCTTTAACCACCTGAATACTACCATGGTATGTACTTTATCTAATAATTCATCAATTAATCAATAATGATTTCAACATACACGAAGCAGATATACCTGACTGTGAGTGTTGGTTGAAAGCACTTTAGACCCTATACACCTCACTGGCCCAGTTCTCCCTTCCCTACACCCGGCAGTTTTGACATACACTTTGTAAAAACATTCATCGATTAAACAACAGCTATAACATTTAAACTTATATAACACAGGCATATACATCTGTGAGAATGTGAAATACTTAATACCCATGACACAGAAACAGATGTTAACCATGGTTTATCAAACAATTTATCCAATAATGAATAAGAATTTCATTTAAATATGCTGATAATAAAAATGATACCTTTCACTTAATAAAGATTTTATCAATGAGGTTAGTTAAAGTATTTGCTACAAAGGTTATACTTGTTTATATAGTGTACACAGTATGTTTATATGTTGTTTAATCATGAGATTTGGGAACATGTGTTCCTTTTTTAATTTAGTAAAAAGGTTCAACACCAGGTGTTATGCATTGAGAATACAATCTATTGATAGAACCGTGTGTATATTCTTCATGCTTTTAGAATATCTTCTATTTCTACCTTTCTGCTTCTGAATAGTAGAAATGTGTAGAAATCTGGTACCTGGATGTGTTAGGTAGTAATTACTGAATGGGTACAATGATGATATACCATTGAGATGTATTATATGAGCGAGATGTATTATATATCAGCTAGATGTGTTATATAAAAGCCAAAGCGAGATGTATGAATAGTAGAATTATATACCAGCGAGAGATGATGTATTATATACCAGTAGAGATGTATTATATACCAGTGAGATGTATTATATATCAGCAGTGAGATGTATTATATACCAGTGAGATGTATTATATACCAGCGAGATGTATTATATACCAGCGAGATGTATTATATACCAGCGAGATGTATTATATACCAGTGAGATGTATTATATACCAGCGAGATGTATTATATACCAGCGAGATGTATTATATACCAGCGAGATGTATTATATACCAGCGAGATGTATTATATACCAGCGAGATGTATTATATACCAGCGAGATGTATTATATACCAGCAAGATGTATTATATACCAGCGAGATGTATTATATACCAGCGAGATGTATTATATACCAGCGAGATGTATTATATACTGTTTTGAATAAGAAGTTGCAGTGTAATACGGAATGTACTCAATAGCTTGACACCTCATGACAAAGTTACCATCATTGGAATTCTTGCTTATATGTTGAAGTTCAGCACAAATTATTATGTGGGATAATTTTACTGTGTGTCACCGATATATTGAAGTTTGTTAAAGGTTCGCTGCCCTTCACTTAGGTTAATTTGGCCGACTTCCGACCGAAATGTTAGAGGAAATGTTTGTTCTTTGCGGTAAGCTTGCAATAGGAAATAGCTCCAGTCATTTAGAAAATGTGACTTTAATGAAATGCAAGGAAGTTGTAATTGCATGTAATTCCCTCTGTGGGTCAGACACAATGTTGGGGTAAGTGTGAGTTGGTTATTAATACTGTTGTACCATTGTGCCTTGTAGTGTTATTAATGCAGGTTAGTAATATTGGTATATTCTGATGAATCATTATCAATGGTTGCAAGTATTGTTATAAAATGTGAAATCATGATTAGGTAGGCAATGTTGTTATTCACCATAGAATCATTATGATTAGGTTCTCAATATTGTTATGCACTGTAGAATCATAATTAGGTGGAGAATTTGTTATACTAATGTAGAATCATTATGATTTGGTAGGGAATATTGTTATAAACTGTAGAATCATAATTAGGTGAAGCATTTGTTATACTAAGTAGAATCATTATGATTTGGAAGGGAATATCGTTATACACTGTAGAACATGATTAGGTGAAAAATTCATGATACAATGTAGAATCATTATGATTTGGTAGGGAATATTGTTATAAACTGTAGAATCATAATTAGGTGAAACATTTGTTATACTAATTAGAATCATTATGATTTGGAAGG